CCTACTTCAGGCTTTGGACAGGACATTAGGGTTTACGGCTTAGTGCTTGCGATTTAGGTCGGGTGTGTAGGTCCTGGTTGTGAGATCCGTGGCTTTGGAGACTGCTGGCACCAGATTTTGGGATTTGATACCGTTCAAAGCCTCACAAACCCTTAAAATCCGATTTAGCCCTCACAACCCCGGTAAGCCCTCTACACCCCGAACCGACGTTTGTGCGAGGCGGGCGTCCTTGACCCGGTTTCTCTCAAGGCACTCGAAGATGGCATTCAAGTCCACCTCGGGAAGGGTACTGCTGGGAGCTCATGCCGATACCCTGAACCCTATAAAAACCTTGTAAGGCCGTGAACCCTATAATGCAGTCCCATATATGCCCTGCAAACCCTACAGTCCGTAAGCTTAGGGCTGGCTCGAGCTAGCGGTTCAGGAATCTAGGATCTTCAGAGACATTCGTGTGTATGGAGTTCGCACGAGGTCAAGAAGTCAAGAGTGCCAGTTCGAAGTTCCCTCAACAGCCCTCAACCCCCCACACCCTACACACGACCTCAAGCTAAACCTTGAACAAGACTAACAGTGGAATATAAGGTGTAAGGCAACGGTGTTTCGTAGGCGCTGAGAAGAACCTGCGCTTTGCAAGATCATTGGCTGCGGTCGGGAGGCGCTTGCCATTGCATGCACCTCCGCTGAAGAGTTGATTTAGAGTTGGGTGCTTCATTCCTTCCCCTTTTGCAAAACGACTAAGGAAATTGCAAGTATAGTTTAGCACACAAATAAAACTATGAGTCTACCTTTATATGCATATATACAAGAGAGAGAGAGAGAGAGAGAGAGACAAAGAGAGAGAGAGAGAGAGAGAGCGAGAGAGAGAGAGAGAGAGAGAGCGAGCTGGGAGGCTTTAACGTCTTAGCGGGAGGGACGGATCCAGGCGCAGGTGCCACGAAGGGGAGGGTGTGCCTCAGAAGCCAAGAGCAACCTGCAAAAAGGTGCATTGATTCTTAGGTGTAGGGTTTATAGACTTAGGGCTTTACGGCTTAAAGCACATTTAGGGCAAAGAAGCCCGAGCTCTGAACCTCGACAACACTCGATCTGCGACCTGCGCACTCCCCCGAACGCGTGGCCTCTGGTCCTAGGTTTGAATCCTTGCCAAGGTACCACGTCGTCGTCCACTGGCCAGTCGTCTCGCTGCAGCTCCGCTCGCGTCGCTAGGACCTGGCCAGGGCTACAGGCAAGATTTGGAGTCTTGGGGGGGTTTAGATTCATGGGAGGGCTTACCCTATAACCCCCAAACCTACTAGGGACTTAAGAGTTCGATGGCCCGATTCCCAAATTCCCTAAACCCACAGTGTGCCCCGTCCTTCTGTGCATGGGCCGTCTCGGGGAGGGCGCTCTCTTTGGCGTGCGTGTCCCGGACCTTGCTTCGGTCAAGGTTAGTTCAGGGAGCAGGGTTTAGGGTTTAGGGTTTAGGGTTTAGGGTTTAGGGTTTAGGGTTTAGGGTTTAGGGTTTAGGGTTCCAGGTGGGTGGGCTCCATCAGGGTTCTGGATTCTTAAACCCTGGAGGCCTAGAAGATTAATAGCGGCGCACCCTCGCCCGAATGCATCTTCTGGAGGAGCACTAAGTTCCTAAGACCTGCCCAAGCCTCAAAGACTCAATTTTAGCCAAACCGAATCCTGAACCCTGCAAGCCTTAAAGCCTCAAAGCAGCAAAGGCCCGACGTTGCGTAACATGAACCTGAAGCCTCCTCTCGAACCCTGACACTGAAATCCTCAAAGGACCCCCCTTGCGGAAGCCGACAAACTCTCCGAAGACTGCAAAGTGGTTCCCTCCTTGCCTGCTCCGCCAGTGGCACTTGTGGCTTCATGGCAGCGCGAGGCTGCACGATCTTCAGATCAGATGCCAATCAGTTGTGGACTCCCCTTTTTGGTTTTATTAGAGCTTATAACCGGTTACTCGAGGTGTTCAAACCTAAGCCTGAACGTTCAGACAATGTGATTTGGCAGCTGGCATCTGGCATTTGCCTCGAGCCCAAGGCTGAGGACCCGAACGAAGCATTCGTGTGATATCAGAGCGCTTAGGCTTTAGGGACGAAGCCAGGATCATGAAATGCTGTAGCCGAGAGCCACTCTAACGTGCGTAAACAAACGGTAAACGTTGTGCACCCGACACCTTTTAAATCCTGCCTCTGCTTATCGCGTGCCTGGGATTGAGCCGGGACGAGCGGGGGCTGGTGCCAGAGCACCACGGACGCTGGAAGGAACTCTCGCGGCTCTCGCAACACTCCGCTCCCAGGTCGGGCCTATGAATTTCACCTCGCCGTGAAACTGGTCATTGTCTCCGATCTGCACCTGCTCATCCAATCGGATAGGGGGTTGAGGGAGTGCGGGGTTCCCTAGGGCGCCATGCGCGGACCGCTTGTTTGTTGGGGGTTTAAGAAGCCATGCACAGAGAAATTTCGGAGGGAGGGGGGGGGGGGGAGAGAAAGTCCCTAATTTCCTAAATAGTACGTCCCCCAGACATGTCCTCTGTAAATGCTAAGCCGTCTGCACTTTCTTTGTGGCCAGGGTTTTTGGGACCAACAACTCGGGGGGGCCTCCGGGGCTCAAAGCTCTAGGGTTTAGGGTTTAGGGTTTAGGGCAACTCCCACCTTGTCTCCGACAGCCAGCCTGACCTGAGAAAAGAAGAGCGCTTTTAGGGCCTCTGGGGTTTCATCTTAGGGTTCCGAGGATGTGGTTCTGTGGTTCCGGAATACCATCCCACTCTGCCCCCCCCCCATTAGAGGATCATTCAAGGCTGCAGCCCAAAGGCTCAACACTCCGAGTCCGTCTGGGCCCAGAAACCCGGTTATGAAAGCTTTGAATGGGCGAACTCCTCAATAGCCCGGAGTTCAGAATGCCACATTGAGAAGTGGTCCGGAGTGCAAGGCTCCAAGAGGCTGAGTTAAGCATTGACACCTTTCAGGCTACGGCTATGGCCTCAAGATCTGAAGCCTAAAATTCCCAGCCTTCAAGGCCGCAGCCCAGAACTCTGCCACCTTATGTACAAACTTATACTGACATGAAGAAGAGGCCCTGAAAAGGCTCAGGAGAATCCCAAGTCGCCTGGGTCTGGACTGGATAGTGACGGAGAGTGCTGAGGTTACTAAACACAACGAAAATATTTGTCTATTTTATGTGCAAACAACATGTTGCTCTATTTTTTCTGTAGGCTGGCCCTGAAGTCCTGACTGTGGGACCTTTCAGGCCCAACCCCACGGTTTCGAGATAACAAAAGCCTGCAGAGTTTTGGGTCCGTAGGGTTCAGGGTTTAGGGTCTTCAAGAGGAGGGTTCAAAGTGTGGGGTTTATCCAGGGTCTAGAATTTAGGGCTCATCCCAATCCATTAAACGATCTCCAAACCCTAAACCTGCAAGCCACCCCATGCCCGGCCCATGCCCTTTATTGCCGCGTGGCGACTGTGCCCAATCAGAAACCCTACAAACCCTAAACCCAACAAGCCCTAAGCACCTGTGAAGGTTGCATCACAGGAGCGCTCGCACGCGGAGGGGCTGGAGGCGGCGGAGCCACCGAGAGCCTGCGACTTCTCACCCACAAGTACCCTTTCAGATGCCCCATAAATACTCTCATGAAGGTACCTTTTAGGCCATTATGAAGCGAGGGACTAGGGGGGGGGGGGGGGGGCGCAAGTAGAGGGCTTATAGAGTTAAGAGTGTTATAGGTCTCTGCTTACTTGGGCTTACTTGTCCAGAATTCTGAACGATCATGTAGGGAACTTTCAAAGACTGGGGCTATAGAAGACAATCATTGGGGATTCTGTCGGGGTTCTGCTATTCCCCACACTAAACTCTAAACCCTGAAGCCCCAAACAAGTTGTCCTGACGATACGTGGCCCCTTGGGGTGAGGATGTGGACGGTCATCTCGGTGTGGCTTTCGGGTCAAGGGCTTCCATTCCATGACTCATGCGTCAGGGATGCTTTCCATGAACCCCCGCCTCTCGCTACCTCAACTCTCCCTCCCGCAAACTTCCTTGAGACAGCAGCGGAATTCAAGGCACAAACCTGCAGCACTGCGATATTATCCACCACACGGATCGGTCTGTGTCTGAACGGGCCCAGAACTACCTCAAATTCGCTTTCGGAGAGCCTCTGGCGAACGGTCCCGCGCCGCGGCGGCTCGCCTGGTAGTATTCCATGCAGGTAAGTAGAGGGGGCGGGCTTCAAGGTCTTCAGGGCGTCAACAGGGTGTTCTCTGCCCCTGGGCGTGTGGGCTTCGTATGCCCACATCCCCAAAATCCTGACAACCTGACCACTTCCTAGTTCGAAGGCTGTTTATTACAAGACTCAATAGATTCAGGAGATCTCACCCAGCGCAGAGACTATCTGAGGTGCGGACCCATTGGGAGCCACTCGCCCGGCTCGAAGCGGACAAGTTGCTCTTGGGTAGGCCGCGTTTTTGGGGGAGGCAAGTACTGTGGAGGGGAGATTGCTCTGTGGTAAGGGGTTGGTACCTCTGCTGCTTGCCGCCTGGGTGCTGATGCTGTCTTACTCCGCATGTTCTTTGGGGGCCAATAACTGCAGCAGCCCACCAGAAGCGCTCAACCACGCAATCCTTGAAGCAGTGGTTGATCCAAATCATGTGCCCTTGTGGGTTCTCGATTTTGAGTGCTTTAGAAGCCTTATTTGCTATTCAAGGTGCCCATGAAGAGCCATACTCTCCAGGCCTCTACACCGATCCCAAGTAATGAAAGCCCTCCTGCCCCCCTCAAAGTCCTGAAGCAGCGTGCTCCCTTTCTTGCCGCCCCCCCGCGGGCAGCCGCCATTTTATGGCGGCATGGGAAAACGCGGAGTGGGGAAGGTCTTAGGAGTGAGGCTTGTAACGGGCTTTGGGCTTGTAGGGAATTTAGATGAATTAAACCGTAGAGACCCTAAACTCCCTAGTGCTAGTCCAGGGAAGGCAACTCTAAAACCCTGCAGAACCCAAGATCCCGAAGTCGGAATGAGCTTTGTAGTCTAGAGGAGGTGGATCTCGACCCGGCGATTCACGGCCAGCTGCGTCCGGGAGAGCGGGTGGAAAGCCTGACTGAGTTTTGGGCTTAAGGTGCGCAGGGGTTGGGACTCAGGCTTGAAACGGATTTGTGTAAACCCTACTAAGCCCTAAACCCTCAAGGGTTTCGAGCTGGCAGTTGAGGTGGCAAAAGCGATGTTGAAAACCCAAGGGCTGCCGATGAAAGTTGCTGAGAGGGGTTAAAGTCACTGTGCAAGCGGAAGCCAGCATCTTGAAAAAAATCCTGAAGCGCAGAGCCTGAGCTTTCAAGTAGGTCTTAAGGGCTTGGTTCGCTTTTGTTCGGTTCTAAGTTATATAACCTCTATAGCTAAACAACCCGTAAGCAGAAGTGTAGGAGAATCTGCGCTCAGTCATCGGACCGCGAAGAATCATTTTCGTCATTAGGCTTTGTCTCAGGCATGTGTGCTAAGCTTATGGGCGATATCGTTAATTGCTTCCGTTACCGGCTGCTACCGGAGTACGTTCCTCACCGCTGATCCTTTTCCAAACCGCAAAGCCCCATCCTACGCCCAAGGGCCCAAGGGTGAGCAATACGTGGGTGTGCAAGAAGGATAGCTGTAGTCCTACCTTTTGTAGGGCACCTATGACCCCGCGCACGCAATAAGCCCTACAAACCCTATAAACCCTAAGGAGCTCCAAGTAAAGCCCTTTGCCACGGGGAAACCCTCCTCTCCATCCCCCATCCCAGCATCGCGTGCCTTGCAACTCTGCGGCTTCATCTTCCTTGGGAGGGCGTTACAATGCCCGAAAGCCCTAATTAAGAACCCGCAGGACTTATAGAGGGCATAGGCATCGTACAAACACCCATCTCTCAGTGCTACAAACAGATCTTAAGTGTTGTCGAGGCTCAGTTATGGGTCCATGGGTCCGACTATAAGGGTCGGTAACGAGGGCTTGAACATCCGAGCAAGACCTTCCCAAGGATTGGCATCACTTGGCGTGTCAAATTGAATGTGCCTGCAAACTCTTGCTGACAATGACGTGCGGTGGGCAATGCCCTACGAAGCAACATCATGCAGGATCACATGCTGCGGAGCGAGGCAGATACAGTAAGGACTATCTGCCATGGGTCTATCCAGCAATAGGCCAAAATCGTACCACGACTCGCACTACACTTGCCCACCAACCAAAACTAATCCAAATTTTGCTCTCGATTCATCGCGGTAATCACCTCAGTTAAATCCTGCTGGTAGACCAACTTAGGAGCCCCCCAAGCATATACCCGAAAACCACCCTAAACCCTAAACCCTAAACCCCAAACCCTAAACCCTAAACCCTAAACCCTGGAAACACGGATGAGCCTTGATGTGGCCAGGTGGCGACCGCGGCACACCCAGCTCGGCGAGCAGGTCCCGCACTTTCGCTGCACGTTGGCCTCCGGGTTTCTCGAGTTTGAGAAGGGTTTAGGGTTTAGGGTTTAGGGTTTAGGGTTTAGGGTTTAGGGTCTAGGGTCTAGGGTCTAGGGTTTAGGGTTTAGGGTTTAGGGTTTAGGGCTTAGGGTTTAGGGTAACTTAGTTCAGTGGGTTTACAGGGCTTCAGGGTTGGGGCTGGGTGCTTAGGTTTCAGGATTTAGAGCAAAGCTTGTCGAGTTTACTGGGATCAGGCCTTCTGTTTGGAGTAAGGCTTGTAGAAGGGCTTGCAGATTTCATAACATCAACCGGCGCTTGAGATGCCATTGATGGCTTTGTGCCAGGGGCCTGCCAGACTGCTGCTGAGTGTGAGGCCTGGTCCAGGATTTGAGGCATGAAGCTTTAGGCTTCCTAAACCCTAAACCCTAAACCCTAAACCCCTAGTTTCGGGGGCCTCAGCTTTCAGAGTGCTATCGGTGTTAAAATTTGCAGTATCAGGGTTCAGGAGCTTTGGTCGTTCGAGGGTTCTTGTTTGGGGTTAGAAGTGTCGAGCTTTCTAACTTCGTGACTTATGGCAGAACCCTGAACCCGAAAAATTCACAATCCGTAAGCCTTACAAGGCGAAACTCAACTTGTCACCTAAACCCTATGAAACTCTAGATCCCCCTTTAACCTATATGATTACGCGCACTGGGGAGGCTCGAGGTGGAGCTTCCCTTTGTTGTTTGCACCTGCACCCCTATCCCTGAAATCAGAGCGGAGTTGACCTGCGATGTCCGCATTCTCTTGCTTGTCCTGGGTGATCGGAGAGGTTCACTCTGAACCCTAAACCCTGCTCCCCAAACCCCAACCCCTAAATCCCCAAAAGGGGGTAATCCCCAACTGTTGATTCTTAGGTGAGGGGGGTACGCCGTTGAGGGGGGGAGGTTTCAAGGAGCTTCAGGGTTTAGGGTTTAGGGTTGTGATGCCACATCGACGATTGATTCAGGGAGCACCGGGGATGCTCTGCGAGGCATAGCAGCTACACAACGCCTCTGGCACATCTGCCTCATCCAGGGTCTTTGGGCTGTGGAGGCATCTAGCCCTAGGAAAAGAATACGACGCGCCCCAAGCCAAACACTAAACCACTCGAAATAAAACATTTTGGGCCTAAGGGGAAGACAGTCAGCCCTAAACCCCCTAACCCTCATAATTGACCGAAAGCACCTCTCAAGTTTCAGCTTTAGGGAATTTTAGGGGTTCTCGGTTCCGTAGGGTTTAAGGCCTCAGCAACCCTGTAGGCCTTACACGAAAGCTTCGAACCCTCATGCCCTGACCGCAGACCCCAAATCCCTAAAACCCTAGAAGCCGCCAAAGTCCCAACCCCGAAACCCAAAAACCTAACCTATGCTTCAGTCAAGTCTCCACATGGCCTTCGATGCGGACAGAGTACTCATCCTCGACTCAGGAATGGGCATATGCTTGGGGTTCGGGGGCTTTCGGCTTCACAGCTTTCGGGCTTGGCTGCAGAGGGGCTTAAGGAAGCTTTATAGTCTTTCGTAGGACTCTAGTAAGCCTACGTCCTAAATCCTGGACGACTTAGGGGTGGCGGTTAGGAGGCTTGTGGGCGGAAGGCTTCGGGACTTGGGGTTGTTTAGGGGGGTTAGCGGGCGGCGTTTGGGGTAAAAGGTGGGGAGCTTCTTTCCACACTCTTTTCTTCACGAATTGGTTGAACCTTCCAGTCGCCTCGAATATGCCCTCGGGCCTCAAAAACACCTGGAGCACTGAAGAACTATCGCCCAAACAGGATGTGCCTTTAGCTAAGCCCTCCTAAAAAGATGAACCAAAGCACTGATTTCCTGGCTTTCTTGCCGGGCTGTCCTCCACCAAGTTCTTGCCGAAGACGGCCAGGAGGGGCTTTGCCTCCTACCAGCGTGGAGCGAGCACAGCAGTTCTGAGCTTTGCACTTGAGCGTAGGCTTGTTGGAGGTAGGGTTTTCTTACTAGCATCCCCAGAAAAGCCATCCATAATCACCTCGGCTTCCTGCCGAGAGGCGTCTAGAACAAGCAGAGCAGGATCTGGTCTCCTTGCCCCCCTCCCCCCCTGCAAGCCGCCCGCCACAAAAGATCGATTCAGGATGTTTGCCAAGCCACCTCCAGGGAAAACCCTAACTTCCCAAACCCTAACTTCCCAAACCCTAACTTCCCAAACCCTAACTTCCCAAACCCTAACTTCCCAAACCCTAACTTCCCAAACCCTAAACATCAAACCTTAAACCCCGCAGCCTAAGCTGAACACCCTTTGGTCTGCTTCAGTGCCGTCCCTGAACCTTAAGACTCTAAAGCCGCAGTCATCCAAATCCAACGAGGCCTAAAACACGCAGACCTGAGAAGCGAGAGGGACGTACAAAAGGCCGCCTCGGGAAGATCAGGGGGTGGTATGTTGTTGGATTTGAGGGTGTTGTCTTGAACCCTATTAGCCCTAAACGCCGCTGTGGGGGTCAACTGGAGGAATTTGGGTTCAAGTGAAGAGCACTTCCCTATCAGACCTCTTTGGGGGTACCCGGGACTGTGCTGACACCCCTCAAACCCTTTCCTAGGATGCTCAGCAGCCCAGGATTAAAAAGGGTCCCTTTTTGCTTAAAGGGGTTTATAAGGGAACCTAACCCCCCAAAAAAGGGAACAAGGGCACTACTGGGCATCCTAGTTTCTGGGGAAAACTGTATGGGACCGGCCCTGAGACCCTGGGACCTACGAGGCGGCGCACGCAAGCGTTCACAGTTACACACACCAACGTTTCTAAGGAACAATAAGAGAAGGAACCTAAACGCGAAGACTAAAGTTCAAAAGCCTACTCCATATGAGGGCGCGATAATCAGGCAGATGCCAAGCAATTAGCCCCGCGGATATCATACAGTAAGTGTAGCTACACGGATCATTACTCTTACTTTTGTGCGGTGTAGGGGGGAGAGGGGGAAAATGAGAAACGTAAGCTCGACGAATGCATCCTGACCTGAGCCCACAGTTTGGCTTCGATTTCACCTGGGCTAAAGACCCCTGACGCCCACGTGAGCTTCGACCGAATCTGAGAATGACTTCATGGGATTCTGGCACCTCCTGAGGGTGTTGCGAGGACGAGGATTCGCACGAGTTTGGGGTTTAGGCGTAAGAGTTTATCCTACAACTACCCTAAACCCTACACGCTAAACCCCAAACCCCACAACCACCATCCCCTGTCTCCTGGAGCAACTCGAGGCTTCCCTGCGGGAAGAACGCAAGATGGGTTAGGACATCTTAGGACATTCTGGTTAGGGGGATTTCGGGTATATCGGGCTTAGAGCTATACGTTGATTCGGCGTACGAGTAGTGCGTTTCGGGTTGAGGGTTTCATAAGATATTCGTTTAGGGTTTAGGATTCTAGGTTCTCAGATGGCACTGGGTGAAGTAAGGAATTGTGGGTGTAGGGTCTTGTAGTCTATGGCACAGAGACCTGGCAGGGTGGACTCATGTGCCGTCAAGGGTTGTTGCGACATAACGCCTGACCTAAAACCTGAGCCCTAGGGCTAAACGCCGAATTTCCAGCACCGAAAACCGAGAAACCCTGAACTCTGAACCACCTGACGTTCCCCAGTTCCATTGCCAATATAATCCCAAAATGCAATTGGAGCTGAGTCTGACCGCACCGATTAAGCCCTTTTCTGTATGAGGTTTCGCTTACCTAAACCCTGAATCCCAAACCACATACCCTGAGCTGCTAAACCCATCGAAAAGTATGCAGCAGAACGCCAGGCTGTCTGAGCTGAGCCCAAGAGGGGTTTCAGGTGTAGATCTTGCGTGTTGATCGCTGTTGAACTTATAGGCTTCAGTATTGAGGGCTCAGGGTTTTGGGTGGGGTTTCCAGGCTTGAGGAATCGCCTCTGCAAAATAGAGGCCGCTCGGGTAGCTCATCATCTCCATCTCCTTGCAAGGGGGGGGGGGGGGGGGCAAAAGCCCAGATTTCGTTGCTTGGGTTTCGGTTGAGGCTGAACCAGGCTGAAGGTGAGGATCCGGATGTCCAAGCCCAAAAGGGTTTGATCAGGGTTTGGGGTCTGTAGTGCTTAGTTGAAACCCTAAGAACACAACCGGATGGCCGAGCCCCTTTCTGGGTCCAAGACCGGGAGTGGACACGCATGTAGACGTGCAAGCCATGAACACCCGAAGTAGCTAAAACCCTGCTCAAGATCCCAACCAACTAAAGCGTGAGTCCCAAAGCCAGCAAACCATCAAACTTAAACCCTGAACCCTTTTCCTTAAACCCTAAGCCCTTCATCCCTATCACACCCCTGACATCACCCACTGCTGCCAAACGGCCGCCGGAAGCGGACCGCTCCGCACCACCATCTCCTGCGATTTAAGGGGCATTTAGTTTGGGGCCCAGCTTGCGAGCCTCCACCAACGCTGCTTTGGCTCAAGGGTTCACTCTGACTTTTGCAAAAAAAATCAAGGCGCAAACATCCGATGAACAACGAACCCGAGCTCCGAACTCTGGTCATGGAGCTCTCTAAGCCCACTCCCAACGCTAAATCCTATCCTACTCCCCTATACCCTGAACCCTAAACCTGAAGCCTTCAGCAGCAACATGCCTAGGTTCCGAGGCCCCCTGAGAAGCTTGAACTCAAACCCTCTACAACTCCCGGTCCCTGATGGGCAGCGGCACGACCACAGCACCCAGACCGGCAGAGGTGCCACAGCCTCGCGACCATCAGCCGAATCCGGAGACCCTCCCTTGGGTTGTTGGGGTTTCTTGGTGGCTTCTTCGAGGTTTCTGCCTCAATTCGGAGTTCTCACAACCCCTATAAGAGTCCATGCACCTGCATGGTACCGACTGGGGATCGGAGCTCCTTTGAAGCCCACGTATATACTGATTATACTCTATCGGTGCCTAGACCCTTAGACCCTTGGGAAGGTGTCAAGCCAGCAACCCTTCGAAGCAAGACTGGAACCAGCATTGAACCTCCTTCATAAAGCACTCCATTGAAAAATTGGCTCTTCTATGATTCATCCTCATCGCCACTCCTGAAGTCTACTCTCTAGACCCAGAACTCTATCTTTGCCCCAGGGTCCAATCCTTTCCCCCCACCCCAGACCTGCCTTTGAGGCGCAGCAAGCCCGGTGCACTTCCTGCCACCTGTTTGAAGGAGCTAGGGCTCGACAGCTCTTATGCAAAAAGTGCACTCCCGTCATCAGATACAACCGTCATGAGAGAGTCTCTTGGGGTGCATAGGGTTTCAAGGCTTTGGGGCTATTGTTCACTGCCTCAACAAGCCACTGGTACACGGCCAGGCTTCGATCCAGGTCCAAGCCTTGAAAAGGGGCTTAGGCTTTAAGGGTTTAGAGTCTAGAGTTTAGGGTTTGGGGTTAGGGTTTAGGGTTGCATCACAAAGGTAGTCCGGCCCCAAAAGAGGAGAATAAGGCCACCATGGGCCATCCTGGAATGTTGTTTGTTCAGGACCCTTGGCCCGGATACAGGGACTTCGGGGAGGTTGTCACTGCAAAAAGTTTCAGCAGAACGTTGTAGAGTCAAAAAGTAGACCCCGAATTTAAAACCCACAGACGAAAAGCCAAAAACAAAAACAAAACCTAAGCTCCAAGGAGTCTGCTTTCAACCTATAAGGTCTACATCTTATAAACCCTCAACACCAAAACTCTCCTTAAAACCCTGAAGCCCAAAAAATCTGAGGCCCAGAGCCGGGTTCCTCTCCGCTCATCTGGTGGCCCTCCAGCAGGAGCCTGTCTTCGGCTGTGGGGGGGGCTTCCAGGCTTTCGGGTTTAGGGTTTAGGGTTTAGGGTTTAGGGTTTAGGGTTTAGGCTTTCCTTTAGAACCCAAGACCTATGTTCTTGCTTCTGAGGGTGCAGTTGAAGATGCGTGTCTGGAGCCGGAGGGTTTCAGGGCTTAGTTTTTCAGGCTTGGAGTTTAGAGTGGAGTTGCGTGCTGTTGATGGGGCTCAGGGTTGATGGGCATCAGGGCTGAGTGTATGAGTCGTCGGGCAATCGCTTAAGGATTGATGTTGGGTCGGGTGGAGATCATGAATTTGTGAGGAGCCCAGCCATGCAGAATCATGCAGAACCTTTGGGTGCTTCATACATTGAACTTCTTGTATTCGTGCCAAGGACCCAACTGATGGGACTTCCACACTGCCGCACTTTCCTGCATCAAGCCGGTTGATTCTCTTGCTGCACCTTGAGTCAATGAAGCCAATCAGGCAGGCTCGGCTTCAGCTTCCCACGGTGCTCCTTCAGCACTTGCGCGATCTGAGGAAGCATCAGCGCCTGACAAGGAGCATGGGGTGGGTTGAGTAGGGCTTTAAGCTTAGGATTTGGTCCGATAAACCCAGTCCTAGCCCTTTGCGACCTATAAACCTACAAACTCTTCACAACCCTCTTCGCTCCGCCTGCTTCGGATCCCCCGCCAAGACCTCCGAGGAAGTCTCGGGGAAGGGAACGCCGCACTGGGCCAGCCTGGGACGGCCATGAGGACAGTGGCCTATTTAGTTAATACTTACTGTCTGTTTGGGTGGTTGAAAATTACTGGGGGTGGAGGTTCACGTGTTTAATAGCGCAAGGTCTATGCTCAGAGGCCATTTAGGGTTCAATCAAGGCTCAGTGTTTAGAGATTTTTGGATGGAGGTCTTGATGGGCCTAGTATTAGTTGGGGTTTACCTGAAACTCCATGATTGGTAGAATATAATAGAACCTCCCCTCATGAAGGCTCACAAGGTCATGAATATCCTTGGATATTACAGAAGCAGGGCTTTCAACAATGTTTACATTAGTCTACATGTGGCCATGAGCCCTACGCCCTAGAAACCCCAAAACCCTAAGCACAAGAGCCGAGATCCTTTTGCATCGGCCAACGCCTCACTTCACTTCTACCATACGCCCTGGCAGCAGCTCCTCCCAGGGTCCTTTGGTTTTAGGGAATTTACGTACTAGGGCTTAGGATACCAGGGCTAGGGTAGGTTCTGCGTCTTGTAGAATTAGGGTTCAGGGTTCAGGGTCATCCGACTTTTAGAAACTTAGAATCTTGAACCATGAGCCGGGAATGTTGGTGACCTTTCTCTCCTGTGGACCTACAAGCCGCCCTCGGCGAAGCCCATGCCAAGAAGAGCGCGCGCACCTAGGCGAGTTGGGCGCGTTGAGGGCTAATGGTTCGTTCATTGGTTGCAAGAAGCATCTGCCATGGCCAAGTGGGCTGCCTGCGCAGTTTTGTGCAGATTTCTGCCGAAGAAAAGCAAAGCCATCCCCTTGCGTTTGCCGACGTGAATCCAATTTTCTTGTACCAACGTCAGCAGCTCGCATCGTTCGATCGGCTTGAATCGAAAATAGGAGTAGCAATGCCAGTACTTGGTAATGTGTCTGAACAACCGTGATGAAATGAGCATAGACACATGCACAACTCAAAATGATGCCAAAAGGAAAATTAAAACTAGAACAACTCCATCATCCCACTGCATGATGCTCGTAGACTTTAACGACAAAACAGTGACAAAACAGAACGTAGCTGTGAAGATGTGCAAGCACCCCAAAGCCTGATAGACTCTATTGTGGCGCAGTTCAGAAGACAGCACAAAATGCAAAGTCCATGGCGCACACTCATCAGCCTCACATGCTGGCTTTTGCCAAGGTTTAGGTTAGTAGGCCTTCTGCCGAAAACATTCAACTCACAGAATTGCCACTGAAGCCTTTAAACTAGATTTCCGAGCGCAAGCCTCTTCTGCCTATTTGCTTGATAAGATTTCGTGTTGATTCGGGGCCCTATCCCTGATTCAATATAGTGGACACAGGCACGATTTGGGTGTTTTCAGCTTCATGAACCTGGAGGTTCCGCAGCCAATCCACCTAGCAGATTTCTGCAGGGTTAGGGTGTAGGCTTCACGCTTCTCCAAACCCTGAATGTTGGGGATCTGCAAACCCTAAACCCTAATTTAAACCCTGAACCCTGAACCCCTAAATCCTATAAACCCGTAAGCGCCCCCGGCATGGTTTGGTAAAACAGCGAACCCGCGATGCTCCGGGGCACCACTCGCGCCAAGCGAGTCTGAGTCTTCCAGGCGAACTGGCCGAAGCCTGCATGGTGCATAAGGGGCTTAAGGTTTTTCACCTACAGGGCTTAGAGGTTTCAAAATTCTTAAGTTTTCGTAACGTTACAGTGTAGGGTTTAGGGTTCTGGGGAAAGGGCTCAGAGAATCCACAGTTTAGCGTTCAGGGCTTAGGGTGTAGAGTCTAGGGCTCGCTCTTGGGCCTCTCCCTGTGCCCACTGGCATTGCTTCGGCTTTTCAAGGCTTGGGCGGCCAGGAGTTGAGGGTCGCTTGGGGCCTACGGGGTCTCAAAACCTAAACTCATACTTCGGGGGAGGAAGGGCAGCTGCAATCCTCGCAAGACTTGTCAGGGTACACTGTTGGGCAGCTGCATAAGTCTGTACCTGGAAAAGCCAGAGGAAGGCGACACTCGAAGCCTTTCAGGCCTGAAGCTGTATTGCGGGCTTCAACTGCGGCCGGTCAAGAAGTTCCCCGGCCACAGCACTTCACGCAAACAGGCCTTCAACCAGACTGTGAAAAGTCCCAAATCTCTTTAAGCCTGAAACATGAACTTCTAAACCATGATGCCTTAGTGAGCCATGAAAGACATAATCTCATGCACCCGAAACATACACCCTAAACCCTGAACTCTTCACCCTACACCGTGAAACCTAAACCCTAAACCTCGAACCCTCAGTTCAGTGGAGCCCTGGTGGCAAGCCAATATCTTCCGAACGCAGCAAGTGCCTAGTGATCAAGGCATCCAAGTCCTGCGCTTGAGAGTGCAAGGTTTAGGACGAGCTGCGTGCCGCGGAGAGTTGATTACAGAATGGGTTTAACTAGTAGGGGTTTACAGATTTAAGGGTTAGGAATGCATACGAGTTTAGGGGGTTAGGACGATGACGCCCCTCCCAGACCTTGTTCAACCCACCTCCGCATCCTCTTCATCCTTAGCCTTGTAGAGCTTCCAAAATGCGAAACCCTTCAACACTACCTGGGCCCTGAACTTCTCTTCCGTTTCTTTGGGTGCCTTGTTGATTTTCTGGAAAGTAGGGTTCAATACCGCTCTCTGCGATGGTGAGCTGCGTGCCCACCATGATGCCCGGCTTAGCCTCCATACTTCTGAGGGCGCGAAACCATACTGTGGAACTGGGGGCTTGGGTCACAACCTCGTCTGGGAAAAAACCTGAGCCCCGCCGGGCTGCAAATTATACAGGCCCGCAAGCCTGCGTGCACGTCCCACTGCAAGGAGGCAAGCAGCAGACCCAACACCCCACACCAAGGCCAAGCCAAAAACAAACAAACACAAACCGAAGGAGACCCAGCTGATTTTCCCTTACAGTAGGCTTTCTACAAACGCCTACAATTGACAATTAAGGCTCCAAGTACTGTCGAAATGCTAGGAGCCTGGCGTTAAAACAAGCACCCAAACCCTTTCGAAACATAAACCAAACCCCCTTCCCCCCCAACCATAAACCCTCGAAAATGTTGGGCCTGGGGGTTCAGGGCAATAAGTCCTCATTCTTGAAGCCCTGAAGCAATGCACATGGCGGGTTTTCTCTCGAGGTTCCCTATTCATATCGTTGGGAGAAGCCTTTAAGCCCTAAACCTAAACCCTTGAACCAAAACCCTCAATTACATTTTAAGACTTAAACAGGGACCACAATTTTTGTTTCCTGAAAGGGTCGGACCGTAGGCTTCAGTCTGTTGGAAAGACAATGTGTCCAGGAACAACCCTAAAACCTCATTGGGTTAAGGGTTTGGGGCTGACGTTGCTTGTGAACAAGCCCAACAAAATGCGGCACGGCCAAAGCCCCGCGTCCAACCTGTTTGAGAGTCTCCGACACCCGATAATTCCAAGAAAGGGATCGCAGCTTAAAGAACTGGGCCACCTGGTTTCCTTTTTGTCGGACAAGCAGAACCGGATCCACTCATCCGGAGCCCTAAAGAAGAGGTTTGGGAAGTGGTTGGTTTAGGGTCTATAGGGTTTAGGGTTTAGGGTTTAGGGGTTCGGGTATCGAAGGAAGGGCTTGAGGGCGTAGAGGGGCAAGGATGTGAAGGGTAACGATCACCGTGGGCTATCGTGGGATGACCTGCCTGCCTCGCCGGCCACCGTAGCGGCAGCACCCACAACTCTTTGCCGAGCCGACAGCTACGGCTGTCAGTAAGAGTCGCATGATCTTGCTGGGGAACGTAATCACGGCCGCAACAGTGCAGATCCATATTGGGAAGCACTCTGCTGTTATGCTGAGCCAGGTCCACAAACAATGAAAGCATACAAAAAATGCGAGAGCTCCCTGAGGATGTCTCTGTCGTAGCAGATACACCCCGACGTAAAGAGGCTCAAAAGGGTCCGCAAAATGGTCCGAAAAGCTGCTTGGCCGTCGGGGCTCCCTTTGCCAGGGTCCAGGAGATGGAGCAGGAGCCCCGTGGCCATGTACACAAACAGAAGAAGCCTGGTCCAGGACCAGGGGTAATAGGCTCCAAGGAGGGAGGCACAGACGGCTCTCCGCCAAGCCTGGTCAGTCATGTCCACACCATCCACACCATCCACACCATTCAGCAGCAAGGACACAACCTGCACGAAGCGGTTTGAAGATGCAACCACCAGGCTTTGCTGAAGGCCCTGGGCTGTTGGAACTGGCAATCCCTGGTCGCCAAGAGCAGAGCCACCGCCTCTTCACGCCCAAGACGCGATGCTTCGACCAGGGCTTCGTCCTGGTACCCGGTGCCCCCTGCAACAGCAAGCGCAGCACCTCCACGTGGGCACTTGGGTGGAAACGTGTTGGGTCTCCCCTCACTGCCTCCCTCAACACTGCGAGGCGCAGGCGCTCGAATTCCGAGGCAGCCCAGCTTGGGTTGCGATCCCCAAGCAGCGCACCAGCTTCCAGCAACATGCGCACGACCTCCGATCGGCCCCGTCTTGATGCAGCTTGCAGTGCTGTCAGACGTTCCCCTTCAATGTCTGCAGGCTGATTCGGGTCGTGTCCTCGTTTCAACATACTTTCCAGACTCCAACAACAATCCCATCTTGCGAGTTCTACAAACGTGCACGCGTCCGTTTGGGAGGCATTGGGAAAGTATAGAAGCACCACCAGCTGCACGTCGATGAACCCATCCCTGTCCCTGAAGTGCAAGGTGAATCTGAGATCCTTCTCATCGCGCAGGATGACATCTTTGTGAAGGAGTCTTTGCAGAAACCTGGGGATCCCAAGCAATCGTTGCAACTCTCGCTTGAGATGCCCCACCGTGCTCAGATCGGACATGGGAATGGAAGCCGCCACTTCCCCTGAAGGCCTCCAGACGCGCAACATGCTTAGGCAGTCTCTGGCAGTCTCTGAGTTCAGGGTGTAGGGTTTAGGGTTTCGGGTTTTAGGGTTAGGGTTTAGGGTTTAGGGTTTAGGGTTTAGGGTTTAGGGTTTAGGGTTTAGGGTTTAGGGT